AACTAATCCTTGACTCCTCGCTATGTCCCTTCCGTCTTCAAGAGAGCGAGAGTTGCACCCCTCCTCAAAAAACCTACACTCGATCCCTCCGATGTCAACAACTACAGACCAGTATCCCTTCTTTCTTTTCTCTCCAAAACTCTTGAACGTGCCATCTCTAGCCAACTCTCCTGCTATCTCTCTCAGAATTACCTTCTTGATCCAAACCAGTCAGGTTTCAAGACTGGTCATTCAACTGAGACCGCTCTTCTCTGTGTCACGGAGGCTCTCCGCACTGCTAAAGCTAACTCTCTCTCCTCTGCTCTTGTCCTTCTAGACCTATCTGCTGCCTTTGATACTGTGAACCATCAGATCCTCCTCTCCACCCTCTCCGAGTTGGGCATCTCCGGCGCTGCTCACTCTTGGATTCTGTCCTACCTGACAGGTCGTTCCTACCAGGTGGCGTGGCGAGAATCTGTCTATGCACCACGTGCTCTCACCACTGGTGTCCCCCAGGGCTCAGTTCTAGGCCCTCTCCTATTCTCTCTATACACCAAGTCACTTGGCTCTGTCATATCCTCACATGGTCTCTCCTATCATTGCTACGCAGACAACACACAATTAATTTTCTCCTTTCCCCCTTCTGATAACCAGGTGGCGAATCGCATCTCTGCATGTCTGGCAGACATATCAGTGTGGATGTCGGATCACCACCTCAAGCTGAACCTCGGCAAGACGGAGCTGCTCTTCCTCCCGGGGAAGGACTGCCCGCTCCATGATCTCGCCATCACGGTTGACAACTCCATTGTGTCCTCCTCCCAGAGTGCAAAGAACCTTGACGTGACCCTGGACAACACCCTGTCGTTCTCCGCTAACATCAAAGCGGTGACCCGTTCCTGCGGGTTCATGCTCTACAACATTCGCAGAGTACGACCCTACCTTACACAGAAAGCGGCACAGGTCCTAATCCAGGCACTTGTCATCTCCCGTCTGGATTACTGCAACTCGCTGTTGGCTGGGCTCCCTGCCTGTGCCATTAAAACCCTACAACTTATCCAGAACGCTGCAGCCCGTCTGGTGTTCAACCTTCCCAAGTTCTCTCATGTCACCCCGCTCCTCCGCACACTCCACTGGCTTCCAGTTGAAGCTCGCATCTACTACAAAACCATGATGCTTGCCTACGGAGCTGTGAGGGGAACGGCACCTCCTTACCTTCAGGCTCTTATCAGACCCTACACCCAAACGAGGGCACTACGTTCATCCACCTCTGGCCTGCTAGCCCCCCTACCTCTACAGAAGCACAGTTCCCGCTCAGCCCAGTCAAAGCTATTCACTGCTCTGGCACCCCAATGGTGGAACAAGCTCCCCCACGTCGCCAGGACAGCGGAGTCACTGACCACCTTCCGGAGACACTTTAAACCCTACCTCTTTAAGGAATACCTGGAATAGTATAACAGTAATCCTTTATTTTTACACATCTACCAATCGGTGCCCTTCTTTGCAAGGCATTGACGAACCTCCCAGGTATTTGTGATTGAATCTGTGCTTGAAATTCACTACTTGATTGTGGGACCTTACAGATATATAATTGTATGTGTGGGGTGCAGAGATGGTGTAGTTATTCAAAAATCATGTTAAAAACTATTATTGATTGTATAGTCCATACAACTTATTATACGATTTGTTAAGCACATTTCTACTCCTGAACCCATTTAGACTTGCCATAACGATAGGTTGAATCCTTATTGACTGAAGACATTTCAGCTTTTACATTTTTTGTAATTAAAACAAAAATCCCACTGGCATTATGGGGTATTGTGTGTAGATCAGTGACAAAAAAAATCTCAATTAATTCAATTATAAATTCAGGCTATAACACAACAACATGTGGAAAAAGTAAAGGGGTGTGAATACTTTCTGAAGGCACTAATTTGGCATGTCATTGATTTCTAATTTAATTGCTCAACTTCAAGTTTTTTTAAACTAACATTATTACTTCACTTCAGACTGTGACACTGAGCAGATTGTGGCCTTCTTCTGACAAGTCTAGCAGATTCTAAGGAGCAGGTGAAATGTGTTGTGTGTTAGTAACCTTTGACATTGGCAGAGCCATGACCTACTCTACCTGCCTGAGCTCTTGAAGCGGCAGAGAGAGAGCGAGAGAGAGAGAGCGAGAGAGCGAGAGAGAGAGAGAGAGCGAGAGAGAGAGAGCGAGAGGAGAGAGAGAGAGAGAGAGAGAGAGAGAGAGAGAAAGAGCGAGAGGAGAAAGAGAGAAAAAGAGAGAGAGAAAAAGAGCGAGAGGAGAGAGAGAGAGAGAGAGAGAGAGAGAGAGAGAGGCACTCTGTCCCTTTAGTAATCACTCATTAATCCACTTAACAGCCCAACAGTTGTGTGTTTGTGTGTGAGTCTGTGTGTGTGCGCGAGAGACAGATGTTGTTGAAAGCTGACACGAAACTATATGAAAACGATCAGGGAAGTCATCTTCTGTTAACGAATGAACAGTCTTCCCTCACGAGTCTATGAAGAGAATGGAACATTGTCCAGACAGACTCCATCGGGTTAAGCCACAGAGTGGTAAATGGCCTGAGATTCCTGCCCAGAGGAGCGAGTGTGTAGGAGGGAGGGTTCAGCGTGGAGATGGAGAGGGGACCGCTGTCACCTGTGTAAAGAGAAACGAATACGCCCAAACACAGCCGAGTATGTAAAACCAGACAGAGAGACCAGGACCGTCTCTCGCTCTCTTTCTGACTCGCTCCCTCTCTCCCTCTGTCTCTCTCTCCCTCTGTCCCTCTGTCTCTCTGTCTCGCTCTGTATCTCTCTCTCTCTCTCTCACTCTCTCTCTGTATCGCTCTCTCTCTCTCTCACTCTCTCTCTGTATCGCTCTCTCTCTCTCTCTCTCTCTCTCATGTATCTGCTCTCTCTCTCTCTCTCTCTCTCATCTCTCTCTCTGTATCGATCTCGTCTCTCTCATTCTCTCTCTCGCTCTCTCTCCTCTCATCTGCTATCTCTCCTCATCTCATCCTCGTCTCCTGCACATCTCTCTACTGCATATCTTTCTCTCTTCCTCTCCTCTCCTCTCTCTCTCTCTCTCTTTCTCTCTCTCATCTCATCCCCTCTCTCTCTCTCTGCATCTCTCTCTCTATCTCTCTTGATCCTCTCCTCTCTCTCTTCCGTCATCTTCCTCTCTCCATCTCTCTTCTACTCTCTCTCTGCATCTCTCTCTCTCTCTGCATCTCTCTCTCTCTGCATCTCTCTCTCTCTCTGCATCTCTCTCTCTCTCTGCATCTCTCTCTCTCTCTGCATCTGCTCCTCCTCACTCTCTCGTCTCTCTCTCTCTCTCTCTTCTCTCTCTGCATCTCTCCTGTGGAAGAACTCTGATCCAAGAGACTGCCACGTGCAGTACATAGAGAACTGCTTGCATGTCTTTGTATGTTGGTAAAACACACTAACCAGTTTTTCTAAATCGACTGTATAGAAAGCCATATCAACAATAAGTGATGCAGTATGGGTATTTTTAGTGACAGGAGATTTGGTGGCATGGACACATACACAATAACAAAAGCTCATACAATGTAGAAAGACATAACTAATAATATCATATATACAGTAATAATAGAATATGCAACAAGAGATGTCAGTTTCCTTAAATCTTTAATGTAAACAGCAGGTTGAGGGGCTTTCAGACCTAGATACGAACATCTGAAGGTATTAAATAATAAATCATATTAGAAATATCGACTCATGATTCGCTTTTAAATAAAATGTACATGAACCTCCAAATTTTGACGGCCACATAAAACAAAAAAAGAACAACTTCCCTTTACTAAAAACACAAACATCCCCAATACTGTCTACTTGGCAGCAGCACAAATATCACTAAATTACACCATCAGCATAATAAAGATCTTTTTTGTTTTTGCTCAATATTGCTTTGGAATGTTACAGCAGTCGTAATCGAGCCTGATCGAACGGTATCAAGTTGGAGGAAAGAGAGAGGTGTACGTCTCAGCGAGCATGTAGCTATTAAAGTTGTGTGTTTGTTTGGGCTAAGCCAGTGTGTGAGTATACAGTATGCTCAAAGCAGCCGTGATATAAGGATAGAAGACTTCAGGAAGTTTCCCGTATTGTATTACAGTGGCAGGTTTTAGAACGACACACTTATTGTAACAATCTACAGACAGTATGTGAAGTATGGAGTGAGAGAACTCTAAATATACACTTCATCATCTTAAATACACTTGATCCTTTCTTCCTCTCAGAAACATTACCTGCCACGTAAATGTGAAACAGAGGCTGTGTCTGAAATGGCACCCTATTCCCTACATAGTACACTACTTTATTCCCTATATAGTGCACTACTTTTGATCCTGGTCAAAAGTAGTGCACTATATAGGGAATAGGGTGCCATTTTGGATGCAGTCAGACTGTTGGAGAGCTAAAAGACTTAATGTCCCTCAACGCCTCTTTACAGCCTCTTTATGAAACGGACCACCTCCTCACGTCCAACGGCCTGTAGAAAATCACCAAAAAAACACACAAAAAAAGGACAACCAAGCGTTTATCAAAGAGCTTTTCTACAACAAACCCAAAGCAAATGACAGATGCTTCAGTGAAGGAGTGAAGAGTGAGCAGGTTTGAGGTGAGAAGAACACTGTGACGACATCTTGGAGAGTGACGACCAAACAACAACGTTTAGAGACCGTTAGAAGAATATGTCTAGTTTAGGACTCAAAGGACCCATATGGACGTTTCCTGGTTTGGTCTCCATGGTGACGGGATGGTTCAGTCAGTGGGCCGCAAATAGTCATTAAGTGCCGGAAAAACCTATTAAAACGCACCCTTTAATTAAAAAAGGAAATTTAGCAAGTATAGCAAGAAGGAAGGAAAATTGTTCAATAGAATCCTTTTTCTGTCGCTCATCATTTTCATCGTAATTTTTTCATTTTTCCAGTTGCCGTTTTAGAAAAAAGAGAATTGGTTGGTCCAGTACAGTAGGTCATTGATTTTGAATGGTTGGTTAGTTAGTTGCAGTCATAAACAAAGTCATAGTTGCTAGGTTCTTTGGGAATGGGGGGAGGGGCCTCTGGGATCTGGATGTTCTCCAGGTCGAGGAGGCGGAGCTTCATCTCCATGGAGAGCAGGGTGTCCATGTCTGACTTGGTGAAGTCACTGGTCATCTCCTTCCCCAGGAGTGCGTTCAGACCGTCCGTCCACACACAGTACTGAGGAGAGACAGGAGAGGATGAGTACAGACGACGTGCCCGCCCCCGCACACACACCCCCACTCCCACACAGCCACAGCAGTCTATTAACATAAAGTGTCCCCTGTCATGCTGGAGAGTGGACGACCTCCATTGACTTCCTCTCAGTCCATCTCTGAAAGCTGTCATTGGTTGGGTGACCGTGCCAGCTGCCTAGTGCTTACCTCATGCTTGTCCGGAGCGATGAAGTTTAAATACTCGTCTGACTCGTAGAGGACGGAGAAGGCCAGCTCCAGAACCTCCTGTAGCGAGAGAGAGGTCGAGAGAGGGGGAGAGAGAGGGGGAGAGGGAGAGAAGGAGAGAGAGAGAGCGAGAGAAAAGGAGGGAGTTCAAATGTAGCACTATCACTAACATGCTAATGAGCCTCTCCTCTCCTCCAGTGTGTGCGTCCCTCCCGCTGTGCCTCTAACACGTTCCCTCCCCAGCCACTCCAACACCAGATGGCTTGGCTGTTGTGTGTGCCGGCGCCACCTGCTGGGTGCCAGGGGACAGGGGACGGAGCATATCGAGCAGGGGGACAGGTAGGGGACAAACTGGGACAGAAAGGCACTTTGAGACATACGGTTGTCCAACACTAGATATTGAGATGCAGTCTGTGACAGCCCTGGCTGGGCCCAGAGAGGTGACTCCGCTCATGTTCCCATTCACACAGCCCAAACACGGCCTAGGACACAGCCTGCAAGGCAGCCAGCCAGCCAGGCAGCCAGCCAGGCAGCCAGCCAGGCAGCCAGTCAGTCAATTAGCCAGCCCACAGACCTGTTGGCCCATTCTTCCAGACACCATATTCGTCGACAAAGTAATAAAGGTCCAGGCGACAGAGGATCGGTGCTCCTTTGTTATATAAGACACAGCTACACTGACAGATACTATAGACACACTCACCTTGTTCTGCTTCAGAGCTCCCTTCTCCTTCATGTGAGGACAGTCCTTACCAGTGACCACCACTTTGATATCGGCAACGGGTACTACGGGAGGAGGAAGAGGAGGAAGAGGAGGAGAGGAACGTCAACATCAAGGAAAACATCCTCTTATCATCATCATCAGTTAGATTACATTTACATTACATTTTAGTCATTAAGCAGATGCTCTTATCCAGAGCGACTTACAGTTAGTGCATTCACCATAAGGTAGCTAGGTAAGAAAACCACATATCCCTGTTCTGTTGACATGCTGCATCAACTACTAACAACATCAGTAACAACCATCTTTAGGCAGCCTGGCAGTAAACGATTATTTAACAAGTTGCAGTTGGCTCTTTTTAAACAGAAACGGACAGTTTGTTTGACCCAGAGCAGTACTGGTGTTGTTACTACTCACATTTTTCCTGTAGAGAGTCATGGGGCACCTCTCCCTGAGGGCTCTCCTCCAGATCTCCATAGTGCAGGACTTTATGGTTTGGAGACAGTCGACAGTACCAGAACTTATCTAGAGAGAGAGCGAGAGAGGGAGAGAGGGAGACAGCGAGACAGCGAGAGAGGGAGAGAGCGAGAGAGGGAGAGAGAGAGAAAACTAGGGTTTAATGCCAAGATCAATGGATAAAATCAAAATGACATCAGTGTATGATGAGGGAGGAAAGGACCAGCATAGAAGACCTACAAACCTGTGAAACAGACATTAATAAACCTAGATTCTGTATGTACTGTATAGACCAGAACCACCCAAAGCATATTGATGCTATTTTTCTGAAGGCAGCAACACCAAACACCACAACCCTAACACTATCCCATATTGGCAGTTAGACACAGACAGTGAAAGTGGCAACTGAATCAGGTCAGGTGAGTGATGTTATCATGTGGCTAGAGTTACTGATGCCCCGGCACTGGGGTGCTATCGCCTGCTGGGCAGCTGGGGCCGGCTGGCACGCCTGAGCACTGTGGGCAGGCCTCCTGTAGAGCAACACCTGTCACTTTATTCTCTACCCACCGTGCCAGCTCTCGCCCCGCCTTGGCATGTCCCTGGCACAGCCCTGGCAGAGCAGAGCTAGGCTGGGGAGGGTTGGCTGGCGCACGCATGGGCGGCACAGCCCAAACCCTAATTGCTGAGAATAGACATTTGGCAGCAGGTGACAGGCGACAGGGAGGCTGGCTGGCGCTGGTCTGTGAGGAGTGGCTGCGTCGTGTCTAGTGTAGTGGAGCTGTGAGGAGAGAGACTGACTGCTTGGGGAACTGAGAGAGGGAGGTGGAGAGGGAGAGAGGTAGGGAGGGAGAGAGGGGTGGAGAGGGAGGGAGGGGTGGAGAGAGAGAGGGGTTGAAGAGAGAGGGAGGGAGGGAGTGGAGAGAGGGATGGAGAGAGTGAGACACGGCGAGATGGAGGGGTAGGGAGAGAGCGAGAGAGGGAGGGAGGTGGAGAGGGAGGAGAGAGAGAGGGAGAGTGAGGGAGTGAGGGATAGAGAAGGAGAGTGAGGGATGGAGGGAGATTGAGGGATGAGAGGGAGGGAGTAAGGAGTAGAGCGAGCGAGAGCGAGAAGGAAGAAATGGAGGGAGGGAGATATCTAGCCTCCAGAAATAATGCTGCTCAGATTGTCTTATTTTATGGACTGTTGTTTTGTTTCTGTTTCCTCAGCTGTTGGAGATACAACACAGCCATCTGATGCTCATCTCCAATTCATCATTTATTTCTCAGCTAACTGAATAAGAAAATTAAGTTTAAAGGCTTTTAGATGCATATTTGGTACACATAACATGTAATTTAACATGGATACAACATAATGGTACGTTTATCCATAATGCTTTTGCTGACTGATATGTAGACATTGAAGTATTTGTATGTGTTACATGCAGTAGGCCCGTGTAGCTCAGTTGGTAGAGCATGGCGCTTGCAACGCCAGGGTTGTGGGGTCGATTCCCACGGGGGGCCAGTATGAAAAAAAAAAAAATGTATGCACTCACTAACTGTAAGTCGCACTGGATAAGAGCGTCTGCTAAATGACTACAATGTAAAATGTAGGCGTCTATACTTAAAAGTCAGAGACCCTTGACTCTGATGCTGTCTGTCAGGTAGATACTCAGCTTTAAGGAGAGTTTCCCTAATACTGTCCTGCTGTGTGTCAGGTAGATACTCAGCTTTAACCTCTATGGGATCTGTGTTCCTTATACGGGACGGTTGTTGCTCAATATGCGATATTTGACTAGAATGGTGTTGTAAACAACAGCCAACATTCCGGGACATAGACATGTCTTATATGGGCAAAAAGCTTAAATTATTGTTAATCTAACTGCAGTGTCCAATTTACAGTAGCTATTACAGCTAAAAAAATACCATGCTATTGTTTGAGGATAGTGCACAACAACAAAACACTTATCACGGCAACTGGTTTGGTACATTCACCTCTGAAGGTAAATAATGTACTTACATTCAGTAATCTTGCTCTGATTTGTCATCCGGAGGGTCCCAGAAATTAAATGTAGTGTAGTTTTGTTTGAAAAATAAATTGTTATATTCAAATGTAGGAACTGGGTTCTACAGTTTGACCTCTGACTCCACACCCACCTTGCCTGGCCATCTAGATGTGTGAAGGTTAGTGTATTTTCTGTAGGGAAGCTAATGTTCTATCATTTATGACATTCCTAGGAGTGTGCAAACTTAAATGTTGCATTACCATAGCATTTTTGTATGTTCTCTATAGTTATGTACTTGAAAAACAATTCGGCACATTTGGGAAAACGAACCCACAACCCTGGCGTTGCAAGCGCCATGCTCTACCAACTGAGCTACAGGGGACTACATCTAGAATTCTACACCACTGTCTGGCCTTTCTCTTGCATTTCAAAGATAATGCAAAAAATAGTAATAGAAAACGCATGTTTTTTGTTTGTATTATCTTTTACCAGATCTAATGTGTTATATTCTCCTACATTCATTTCACATTTCCACAAACTTCAAAGTGTTTCCTTTCAAATGATATCAAGAATATGCATATCCTTGCTTCAGGTCCAGAGCTACAGGCAGTTAGATTTGGGTATGTCATTTTAGGCGAAAATTGAAAAAAAAGTGTCCGATCCTTAAGAGGTTTTATGGAGATTTTCCCTAATACTGTCCTGCTGTCTGTCAGGTAGCTACTCAGCTTTAAGGAGAGTTTCCCAAACAGGGTCCAGCCTCCCATTCAGCGATGGAAGGGAAAAGCCAACCTCCATTTAAGAGCTGTTAGATGAATATTTAATGTGGAAATATGATTTGAGAGGAGGCCTTTAGGGCTGAAGCATTTGGAGAGTGCCGGGTGGAGGTGTGTTTAGACGGGAGGATATTGAGGCAGTTTAAGTAGAAATTATCACTCAGGTACTCTACAGTGTGGTGGCAGACAGCCAACAGCCTATAGGCCCTGTGACGACAGAGAGAATGCCTTTATAATACTGTACTGAGCTAGCTTCCAGCACTCCTTAACAACACATAACCTTTGTGTGCGTGTGTCAGAGAGAGAGAGAGAGAGAGAGAGAGAGAGAGAGAGAGAGAGAGACTGAAGAGGACAGAGAGAGACAGTCTGGTCTCGGGTGGTGAGATTTAATCTTCTCCGGCTGTGAAAAGCGCCACATTATAGCGGTGCTAAGCGATAAGGCCTTTCCCTGCGGTCTCCTCCTCTCTCTCCCCTCTCCCTGCCGTGCCTAGGCCCCAGCCAGCCAGCGTGAAAAAGGATATTAGGCTCAACGCTCCCCAAACACTCCAATCGGAAGTGTAAACCATCGTTATCCATCGTGCAGCTCCACAGACATTTACAGGGAAAGGACGAACAGGCTTCCATTCCACAGCCACAGTTAAATCAAGGACAGTCTGTTTCCTAAAGTGCACCCTATTCCCTATGTAGTGCACTACTTTTGACCTGAGCCCATAGGGCTCTAGTCAAAAGTAGTGTACTATAGGGAATAGGGTGCAATTTAGGACACAACCATACCCTATGCTTCTACCCAAAAAAATTAAACTCACAAAAAAAACAAAAAAATAAAAATAAAAATATAAGGTGAATGCACCAATTTGTAAGTCGCTCTGGATAAGAGCGTCTGCTAAATGACGTAAATGTAAATGTACTGATAGGAGGTTTATTTATTTTACTGTTAATAAAAGCTGTGTAATATGTTATGGGACCTGGGACGTTACACTGAAAAGGTTGTATTCTGTAACTGTCTTTCACCTGAGGCGAGAGCAAGCAAAGAAAGGATCCTTTCTGTCCTGAAAACGTAAACTTAATGCCCTTGACGCGAACAAATGCCCACGACAAAAAAGTAGTCACTGGCAGATTCCAGTTTCCCTTTAATACATCCGCAGCACTGACTTATCTGGCTTCAAAGGTTCTGAAGAGTCACGCTAACCAACCTCATGTTCATTCCAGAACACTGAGATGACCAGGGAAGAGCTTTAGAAGCCGGGCCGGGAATTGAATTAAGGCCGTTCCTCCATTACTGACATCGATTCACGCACTTCAGAGCAATGAGGCTCAGTGGTACTGTAGAGCTGGGGAGAGAAACTGTTCCAGACAACAAGGGTAAGTTGAGGGCCACACAGCTCAGATATTAGCCAGTCTTGGAAGCAGTAGACTGTCTCAGTTCCAGACACTGGGGTAGACATATATTGGCTAATTTTTGGAGGAGTATCTGTATGGTGTGTGTGTGTGTGTGCGTGTGTGTGTGAGAAAGGCTGCGTTTCACAGGCAGCCCAATTAGGATATATATTTTTTTAAACTAATTGGTCTTTTGACCAATCCGATCAGCTCTGAAAAAGATCTGATGTGATTGGTCAAAATACCAATTAGTAGTAGAAAAACTATGAGAATTGGGCTGCCTATGGAAACGCAGCCTAACACAGCAGCCCAGGCTTTTGAACAGCATCCAAGGTTACCACTGTGGCTCCAACAAAGCCACAGGAGACTGCCCACTTAGAGAGGAACGCTGCAGAGGACAGAGAGGGGGGTGAGAGGGAGAGGGAGAGAGAGAGGAGGTGGTGGTGTGGTGGAGGAGGAGAAGAGAGCAGATTGATAGAGTGTGGGATGGATGAATGGAGAATAAAGGAGAGAGAGTGTGTTAATGGTGTGGTGGGGGTTGGTGAACTGGCCTGAGAGAGAGAGAGAGAGAGAGAGAGAGAGAGAGAGAGAGAGAGAGAGAGAGAGAGAGAGAGAGAGAGAGAGAGAGAGAGAGAGAGAGAGAGAGAGAGAGAGAGAGAGAGAGAGCGAGAGAGAGAGGGAGAGAGAGAGACTGAGGCAGGGCAATGTGTAGGATAGTGTGTGGGAGTGTGTCACTGGGTGAGATATGAGCTTGTTTGGTGTATAGGGCAGTGAATTATGTACACAGGCCAAACTGCATGTGTGTGTGTGTGTGTGTGTGTGTGTGTGTGTGTGTGTGTGTGTGTGTGTGTGTGTGTGTGTGTGTGTGTGTGTGTGTGTGTGTGTGACTCCCACCTTGCCTCCGGCGGCTGCTGATCTTCCTGAAGCAGGTTCCATCACACAGACGGTTGAGCCGCTGTTGTTTGATCAGCTCCATGATCTCTGGCTGGATCTTCTCCCGCAGCTCCCTACAGACCAGACAGAGAAACAGTCAGTCACAGAGACAGAGAGCAGTCAGTCTCACACACAGAGATCAGAAACCAGTCAATCACACACACAGAGAGACCAAGAACCAGTCAGTAACAGTAACAGAGACAGACCAAGAACCATTCAGTCACACAGAGACCAAGAAACAGTCAGCCAGTCACACACAGAGAACAGAAACCAGTCAATCACACACACAGACAAAGAACCATCCAGTCACACACAAACACTCAGGGAGAGATGGGTTGCATCATTGTTAGTTTTTACTTTTATTTATATAGGGTGGTTCACCATTGAGACCAGGGTCTCATTTACAAGGGAGACCTGTGAACATGAACACACAATTTAATACACATCATATAAGATTATAATATCAATACAATAAATACAACAAGATTAATCAAAACAAACAACTCTCACATATCACCTCCCTTAAACGTGATGTAAACTGTCCAATGGAGACCAGCGAGTCTAAGGTGTCCTGAAGGCTATTCCATGAGCTGGGGGCATAACAACTAAAAGCATTTTCCCCCACATCAGTGGAGACCTGCGGGACCTCCAGAACCAGCCAGTCCAGAGAGCGGGTCTGAAAATTGCTGGATCTCCAATTAATATGTGAGTTGAGGTAGTGAGGTAGTCTCTGAAGAACCACTTTATATACAAAAAGTAGTCAATGCTGGATCAGAGACTCCCAGCCAACAGAACTATACAAAATGCAGTGTACAAAAATTGTCCCCCAGTGATAAAACGCAGTGCTGAGTGATGGGGAACTTGCTCAATGTGGGCTCCCTTCAATGTGCAAACACGCAGCTCCTCAGGGTCAATATTACAAGACCTAGAGAACAACAAACTTGGTTTTGTTAGCATTTAGCACTAGATTAAGATCAGTAAGCGGTTTTGAATTGAGTCAAAATCATGCTGAAGGTCATGAATGTCGTAGCCGGCCGCGACCGGGAGACCCGTGGGGCGGCGCACAATTGGCCCAGCGTCGTCCAGGGTAGGGGAGGGAATGGCCGGCATGGATGTAGCTCAGTTGGTAGAGCATGGCATTTGCAACGCCAGGGTTGTGGGTTCGATTCCAGTATAAAAAAATAAAAATGTATGCACTCACTAACTGTAAGTCGCTCTGGATAAGAGCGTCTGCTAAATGACGTAAATGTAAAATGTAATGAATGGCCTGCTGTACTGAGGGGGCACAGGAGTAAATAACTGCATCATCCACATAGAGATGAAGGGCGGCAGGTAGCTTAGTGGTTAAGAGCGTTGTGCCAGTAACCGAGAGGTCGCTGGTTCTAATCCCCGAGCCGACTAGGTGAAAAATCTGTCGATGTGCCCTTGAGCAAAGCACTTAACCCTAATTGCTCCTGTAAGTCGCTCTGGATAAGAGTGTCTGCTAAATGACCAATTTATTATTTTTTATTTATTTATGAATGTTGCAGGTTTTAACAGATAGACCAATATTATTTATATAAATTTTGAAGAGAACAAGGCACAAAACCGACCCTTGCGGCACACCTTTCGTAATATTGAGGAAACTACATTTGATACAGTCAGTAAGAACACATTGTGTTTTGTTCATTAGATAGTTCTTGAACCAATTGCAAGATGCCTGATCTAGGCCTATTTCAGACAACGTTTGAACAAGTAAGAAATGGTCAACCGTATCAAACGTCTTCTACAGGTCAATAAATAAGGCAACGGAATGACTTGTAAGATTTAAACAACGTAGTACATCATTTAAGACCAGTGTGGCCGCTGAAACAGTGCTATGTCCAGGTCTAAAACCAGATTGGTGCTCATTAAGAATACAATGAGAAGTAAAAAAAAAAGTTTGGCAAGGCAAGATAGTTTGGAAATTGGACGGTAGTTATCCAAGTCAGAAGGATCTCCGCCTTTGTGTAGGGGGAGGACTTGTGCCGTTTCCCAGATCCTAGGGATAACCCCAGAAACAATTGTCAAGTTAAAAATACATGTTAAAGATTCTGCAGTAAGTAGTGCAGAACACTGCAACAGAAAAGGATCAAGTGAGTCAGCCCCAGCGGACTTCCTTTTACAAAGGATCAAGTGAGTCAGCCCCAGCGGACTTCCTTTTACAAAGGATCAAGTGAGTCAGCCCCAGTGGACTTCCTTTTACAAAGGATCAAGTGAGTCAGCCCCAGCGGACTTCCTTTTACAAAGGATCAAGTGAGTCAGCCCCAGCGGACTTCCTTTTACAAAGGATCAAGTGAGTCAGCCCCTGCGGACTTCCTTTTACAAAGGATCAAGTGAGTCAGCCCCAGTGGACTTCCTTTTACAAAGGATCAAGTGAGTCAGCCCCAGCGGACTTCCTTTTACAAAGGATCAAGTGAGTCAGCCCCAGCGGACTTCCTTTTACAAAGGATCAAGTGAGTCAGCCCCTGCGGACTTCCTTTTACAAAGGATCAAGTGAGTCAGCCCCAGCGGACTTCCTTTTACAAAGGATCAAGTGAGTCAGCCCCAGCGGACTTCCTTTTACATCCATCTTCAATAAGGCACTTGATCAGAGTAAGGCATATCATGTTGCATCAATGTATTTGATCGATTTGGAAAAAGTCCTCAATATAGCTACATCATTGTCATCTCAGTTTAATTTTCGACAAAAATTATTTGGTTGGTTTATTTCATTTTCAAATGGACTTAACGCTTGTTGGCAACTCAAATATCAATCACATTGAGCGTTATTACCATACAGTAGGCTTGACTCCAATGACTTTGATCAGAAGGTTGCGTGTTCCATCCCTGTGGTGGACACCTTCTAAATTTGATGTTTGGAGAAACGGAATGATAATGAGCAGGAGGTCAACACTGGCACTATTAGACTGACTGGCCACAGAGTGTCAGTGTGTGTGTGTGTGTGAGAGAGAGAGAGCCCCCCCCCCCCATCCCCCAGACTCATTACCGAGGAGGGCGCTGCACAGTCCCCTGCTGTGATCCCTGTCATGTAGACTAACATGTAGGTTTCTCTGCCTCTGGTATGAAAGATATGAACACAGCCCCTAACAGCCAGCCAACATGAATTATATATACAACCTACTGACTGGGGAAACGTGCAGTGCCCACACAGTCCTACAGCTCACCAGCCAATCAGGACGCTGCTGTGTAGCTGACAGCCAATGAGAGGGCTGCTGTGGAGCTGACAGCCATTCATAAGGCTACTGCGGAAAGAACAGCTAATCAGAAGGCTGCTGTGGAGCTGACAGCCAATAAGAGGGCTGCTGCGGAGCGAACAGACAATTAGAGAACTGTCCAATCAGATTATCTCTTTCTCATTACGTCAGGCTCTCTGTGCCTTTCCCTAGCCGTTATTTTCACTGCAGCTCTGTGCTTTCAGATCATCAGTGGACCAGGGGTGACGTTTCCCCTAGGTACAGATCTAGGATAATCCTCCCCTCCCCCAATTCTAACCTTAACCATTAGTGGGGAAAATGCTAAACTGACCCAAGATCAGAGTCTAGGGGAAACTTCACCCTATTCTGATAACGAACCGTTGGGGAGAGGGGGATGCTAAGGAATGGATTCAGGTCCCGTACATGTATAGGACAGATAGTTCATTTTATGTATAGCATTAGCGTGGGAATTATCTATATGGCTCAACTCCCATAGTGAGATTCTCATTGTCTGTCGCAGTGTCTGTGTCTCAGACGTTTTGACACTGCCATTTTATAAATCGGATTCATTACAGCTCAGTGTCATTCACTCCTTGCAGTGCAACTAAAGGTCTACCGCTGGCCAATCAGATAGCTCCATAGACTGTAAAAATAAGCCTCGAACGCACAACAAAGTTGATGTGATATTTTAAAACATTTAAAACCATGACTAGAGAGAGACTCAACAAACCACTGACCACTGCTCTAGTCTAATGAGCTATACGACCTTAATGGATTATTCACTCAATACCATTTGTAGGCAAATTAGATTTTAATGCAGATTTTCAATCATGAGGGGAACTGAATGAATGTATGCCATGCAGCATATGTCAATAGCTGAATTGAGTTTTAAAAAATTGAAAAGGGGAGGGAAATGAGTGAGGGATGGAGGGACGGGGGTTTATTAAATGTGTATTAACGACTGCGTTTCCTTTGTTCCACAGTCTCTCGTTTGCTTTGTTTTGGTCTTTATTTGGACTGGATAAAGGATGGGGCATGAGGAGATCCCATGTCATGAATATTACCAGCTATTTCCTTTCTTCGCTCTCACTGCCTCAATGTTTTTCTCCTCTTTTTAATGAAGGATTGGTTACATCTACCTAATGAAGGATTGGTTACATCTACCTAATGAAGGATTGGTTACATCTACCTAATGAAGGATTGGTTACATCTACCTAATGAAGGATTGGTTACATCTACCTAATGAAGGATTGGTTACATCTACCTAATGAAGGATTGGTTACATCTACCTAATGAAGGATTGGTTACATCTACCTAATGAAGGATTGGTTACATCTACCTAATGAAGGATTGGTTACATCTACCAAATGAAGGATTGGTTACATCTACCTAATGAAGGATTGGTTACATCTACCTAATGAAGGATTGGTTACATCTACCTATAATGAGGTAGATGCTCAGCTGGTAGAGCACAGCGCTTGTAACGCCAAGGTAGTGGGTTCGATCCCCGGGACCACCCATACACAAAAAAAAAAATGTATGCACGCATGACTGTAAGTCGCTTTGGATAAGCGTCTGCTAAATGGCATATTATTATTATTATTATTACCTAATGAAGGATTGGTTACATCTACCTAATGAAGGATTGGTTACATCTACCTAATGAAGGATTGGTTACATCTACCTAATGAATTTCATTGATTTCTTCCTTTCTCAGGCAGTACTATCATTTCCTATTGAGAGAGGACACGCGCACACACAAACCCAGCCTCAACTACCCACCCCCACCCCACACACACACACACACACCCCATTGACTCACAGGATGGGGCGGGACTGGAAGTCTTCTTGGTTCATCCTCTCAGACTGGCGTATCTTCAGGATCTCAGTATAACTCAGGTTCTGCAGGCGACTCTTCAACTGGTCCAGGGAATTAGGCTTCTGCGTCAGCGCTCGCATGATCTGCTCTCTTACCACCTGCATCACCTGGGAGGAGAAAGAGAGGGGGATTTAGATAAGTGGAGAGGTGGTAAGACCCTGATGTCTGGATAGGTAGAGAGAGAAGGAAATCTAGGCTACACATTTGGGTCTGGTTTCCCAGACATATACAGTGAGGGAAAAGAGTATTTTAACCCCTGCTGATTTTGTATGTTTGCCCACTGACAAAGACAGGATCAGTCTATAATTTTAATGGTAGGTTTATTTGAACAGTGAGAGACAGAATAACAACAACAAAATCCAGAAAAATGCATGTCAAAAATGTTATACATTGATTTGCATTTTAATGAGGGAAATATGTATTTGACCCCTCTGCAAAACATGATTTAGTATTTGGTGGCAAAACCCTTGTTGGCAATCACAGAGGTCAGACGTTTCTTGTAGTTGGCCACCAGGTTTGCACACATCTCAGGAGGGATTTTGTCCCACTCCTCTTTGCAGATCTTCTCCAAGTCATTAAGGTTTCGAGGCTGATGTTTGGCAACTCGAACCTTCAGCTCCCTCCACAGATTTTCTATGGGATTAAGGTCTGGAGACTGGCTAGGCCACTCCAGGACCTTAATGTGCTTCTTCTTGATCCACTCCTTTGTTCCCTTGGCCATGTGTTTTGGGTCATTGTCATGCTGGAATACCCATCCACGACCCATTTTCATTGCCCTGGCTGAGGGAAGGAGGTTCTCACCCAAGATTTGACGGTACATGGCCCTGTCCATCGTCCCTTTGATGCGGTGAAGTTGTCCTGTCCCCTTAGCAGAACAACACCCCCAAAGCATGATGTTTCCACCTCCATGTTTGACGGTGGGGATGGTGTTCTTGGGGTCATAGGCAGCATTCCTCCTCCTCCAAACACGGCGAGTTGAGTTGATGCCAAAGACCTCGATTTTGGTCTCATCTGATCACAACACTTTCCCCCAGTTCTCCTCTGAATCATTCAGATGTTCATTGGCAAACTTCAGACGGGCCTGTATATGTGCTTTCTTGAGCAGGGGGACCTTGCGGGCGCTGCAGGATTTCAGTCCTTCACGGCATAGTGTGTTACCAATTGTTTTCTAGGTGACTATGGTCACAGCTGCCTTGAGATCATTGACAAGATCCTCCCGTGTAGTTCTGGGCTGATTCCTCACCGTTCTCATGATCATTGCAACTCCACAAGGTGAGATCTTGCATGGAGCCCCAGGCCGAGGGAGATTGACAGTTATTTTGTGTTTCTTCCATTTGCGAATAATCACACCAACTGTTGTCACCTTCTCACCAAGCTGCTTGGCGATGGTCTTGTAGCCCATTCCAGCCTTGTGTAGGTCTACAATCTTGTCCCTGACATCCTTGGATAGCTCTTTGGTCTTGGCCATGGTGGAGAGTTTGGAATCTGATTGATTGATTGCTTCTGTGGACTGGTGTCATTTATACAGGTAAACTGAGATTAGGAGCACTCCCTTTAAGAGTGTGCTCCTAATCTCAGCTCGTTACCTGTATAAAAGACACATGGGAGCCAGAAATCTTTCTGATTGAGAGGGGTTCAAATACTTATTTCCCTCATTAAAATGCAAATCAATTTATAACATTTTTGACATGCGTCTTTCTGGATTTTGTTGTTGTTATTCTGTCTCTCACTGTTCAAATAAACCTACCATTAAAATTATAGACTGATCATTTCTTTGTCAGTGGGCAAACGTACAAAATCAGCAGGGGATCAAATACTTTTTTCCCTCACTGTATTAATCTTAGACCTGGTCCAAAAGCATTCTCAATGGAGGTTCTTCTTTCTAGGACTAGGATGAATCTGTGTCTAGGAAACAGTCCCATGATGTGATATAAAGATGCCATTGTGCAAAGGCATTTTAGATGGAAGAAAAACATAATTTACTCGCACACACACTGTTATCTGAATACATATCAAACACTTTCACATCACTGTTCTGAGCTTTTGGGCAAACATCCCATCTCCTCAAAAAGTATGCTCTTGAGGATGTTTGCAGAGCTCAGGGGGAGGGAGGGAGAGAGAGAGCCAAAGAGCCTCTGGGAAACAGTCATTTATCTCAGAACAGAGTTAAAGAGAGCACAGAACACTAGAGAAAACATGATCTTTTCAACATTCTCTTGCTGCTACAGTAAAGCGCTCCTGGGAACTAATGGTGCTGATGGCAATTATAAACCGAGTAGTTTGACTCCTGGATGCTGATTGGCTGAAAGCTGTGGTATATCAGACAATATACCAGAGGTATGACGCAAAATTACTTGTTTACTATTCTAATTATGTTGGTAACCAGTTTTTAATAGCATTAAGGCACCTCAGAGTTTGTGCTATATGGACAATTTACCACGGCTAAGGGCTGTATCCAGGCACTCTGCATTGCGTTATGCATAAGAACAGCCCTTAGCCGTGATATATTCTGCATATACCACACACCCTCGTGCCTTATTGCTTAAATAACCCACACACAGAGGCGCGTGCGCCACTCACACAAACGGACACACAAGGGCATCAGATTGAGTCACTAATGGGGAATAACTTTATGGGGTCATAGGAGCACATAATGTGTGCTGGTAAGGGGCTGGAGAGCCACTTCCCAGTGAATAAATCATAGGAGGTTTTATCAGTGCACATTTTGTAATACAGTCCAGTGAATCTTCCCTCAGGGGAAAAGGGCAGAGTGAAGGGGGCTAATTTTACACTGCCTAGCCTCCTGTAATACTCTGCATGCATCAGTGGAGACCATTCACTCAACGCATCCCTAACGCTCGCTTATCCATTCGTATTGTTAGGCTGTGGGAGAGAATCACGAGGCTAGCCACTACATCAGAGTTAGAAAGTCAGTAGGCACAGGTCACTGTTGTATCTGTCACTCCTGGCTATATCCACATACTGCTGAATGGCTTCCTATCAGAACCCCTACATGACCTCCTTTCCTGCATATTATAACTACAGTATATGACTACTGTATGTTTCATATTATAACTACAGTATATGACTACTGTATGTTTCATATATATATATATAGATATATATATATATAGATATATATATATATATATATATATATATATATATAGATATATATATATATATATATATATACCTCTACAGTAGACTACTGTACTGTATGTTTCATTTGATATAATTACAGTATATAACTACAGTAGACTACTGTATATTTCATTCACAGTACAGTACAGTATGTAATCATTAAGGAAAGGAGATAAGGAAAGGAAGCTACCCTGTGTATCTATTCACCAGTAAGACGATCTCAGCCTTTTGTTATGAAGTTGCCCCTAGAAGCTGATCTGGGGTCAGTTAAAACATTTTCCCACTAATGGTTAGGGTTATGATTGGGGGAGGGGAAGCAGATCCTGGATCTGTACCTAGGTGGAACTTCACCCCGGAGCCAGTAATGCATGGACACAGACATGCTAACATCAAGCTAACCGCTAATTCAACAGTAATGCATGGGTACAGACATGCTAACATGAAGCTAACCGCTAATACAACAACATTAAAGCATGGGCACAGACATGATAACATGAAGCTAACCGCTAATACAACAACACAGTGAGCTGGACTGGAGGCAGGCATAGCTGCAGATCTGCATCACTAGCCTATTAGCCACAGGGCTAGAGGAGAGATGAGTCTGAAATTGGGCACAGCAGCCCCATTATCCTTCCAGTACTACCAACTCCTTTTATTCACTCCCTCCTTTTTTACATTTCCTTTAATTCACTTGCTCCAGATGAGATGCGTTAAAATACATCACACCATCTCAACGTGCGTTTTGCGTAGGGAAGGAAGTGAATGCCTGCGGCAGGAAGCCAGACGTTGTGATTCTAGAACAAATTGTAGTCACAGCTTCATGCTGTTGTGATTCTAGAACAAACTAGAGTCACACCCTCATGCTGTTGTGATTCTAGAACAAACTATAGTCACACCCTCACGCTGTTGTGATTCTAGAACAAACAATAGTCACACCCTCATGCTGTTGTGATTCTAGAACAAACTATAGTCACACCCTCATGCTGTTGTGATTCTATAACAAACTATAGTCACATCCTCTGTAACCCATGTGGTGATTTATCACATTAGACACATAACGTAACTGTATACATTGTATTGTGATGGAAGGGACAAATATATGTGTTTGATGGGTGGTGTGGGTTCCATCCTTAGTGAATGAAGAGGGTGTTGTAGGTATTTAGAGTTACCCTCGCTTCCTAATAGACTGAGGGTTCAATATGTCTGGATCTAAGCAGCCACCTCCTCCTGTTAACAGCAATCATCAATAAAGTGCAAACAAGTCCGCCCACCATGTGTCAACATTGCAGTAATAAAGAATGATCCACACAGGGAGGGGAGGGAGAGATTCTTATTTTATTTTTTAACTTGTGTAATGTCTACTGTTAATTTCTGACTGTTTATTTCACTTTTGTTTATTGTCTATTTCACTTGCTTTGGCAATGTAAACATGTGTTTCCCATGCCAATAAAGCCCTTTGAATTGAATTGAGAGAGGGAGAGTGAGAGGAAGGGTACACGTGTGTGTGTGTGTTGTTGTGTGTGTGTTGTTGTTGTTGTTGTGTGTGGATAGAGGCGATTATAGTGCAGGATTCTGATCCGAAAAGCTTAGTGAAACCTTACCAAAGAAAGACTGAGCCCTCGCCAGGGGTAAGAAATAAAACATGGATGAGGGAAGAGAAGACATCATGAAAGGAATACAAATATGAAACCACAAGCACCCAAAAACCTTCAGACCAAGGCTTCAACAGGGTATTTTTTTTTGGGGGGGGGATAATCGGCATTAGCTCACAGAGAAACGAGTGGAAATGGCCCTACTTCAAATCCACTATTTGGGCGTCCATGCTCACTGTGAGTGAGTGCCACAAAGAGGAATTAAAGGAATTATCCCATTTATAATTCCAGATCCGATAAGCCGGGTCGGCATCACCAAATCCTGACCCTCCAAAAAAATCATAATTTTCCAGCTGATTAGACTCTTTAAT